GCAGCAAGGATGAAGGAAAGTGGACATCAGCTGGAAAAGGGTACAAAAGCATAACAAAACCTCGTAAAACAGGGACAAACCAAGATCAAGCACTTCAAGCATTCCATGTTCAACCCTTGCATTTTCTTCCTTTATCTATATAAAACTCAAGCACCTCACAAGTGCAGGTAATCAGCCTGTGTCCACCTCACCTGCCCAGTTCAGAGCTCACTGCAGGCTGATGGTCCTAGCTAAAATTATTCATCTTCACACTAAGAACTAAGTTTTCCTCTTCTCTAATCAAAAGGGTTTAATTTCAAAAGTCATGGGGCACATTGTGCTGGACCACTTATTAAAGAATTTGCTTCTTTACAAAGAAAGTGACTGCTACAAATTCAGCTTTCCTGAAAAAAAAAAAATCTCAGCCCTGTTGCGCAGAACTACTCTTGGGAGCAGAAACTCTTACCAAGTCCAAGTGACACCCTGCATCTGTGGAAAACCTGACAAGAGCACACCTGGGAAGTGTGAATCTATACCATGAAGTGATAAAGGTGTGGACTTAATATCTGACCATTTTCTAAAATACATGTTCCTACTTCTGCTGCCAAAGTTGCCGATTTCCTTTTCCTCAAAACTCTTTTCCATTTCCCCACCCAGGCAGAGCCTGGCTGAAGCTGTCTCTCCCTCCTTGGCCTTCCCAAGAAGGAGTTAATGGGATTGAGTGGCTGTTGCTGCACTCTTTCACAGAGCCAGGCAGCTGGCTCCAGCACTGGAGACCGAGTCCAGTTTTCAGGGGAAGATATAGGCAAGCCAGAAGTATGGGCTGGCAAGCTCAAGTGCTCGGAAAAAAGCACACAACTGAAGGCTGGGAGCTCAGAATGGGAGCCAAGGAAGCTGTCCACATTCTAGGCACACACCACCACCGTGCTGGGAGGAAACAGGCAGCCAGTCCACCTGGAAAATGTGATGGTGTAAAAGGCCTGCAAGTGGATCCAGTCAGCGAGAAACGGTGGGAGAATGGTAAGAGGGGAAAAAGCCAGGAGAAGAATAAAAGACTTCATCTTTGAAGCAGTTTTCAGCATGTCTGGATGCAAAGACTGATATGGAAAGTATCACTTAATTTATGTAATTAAGACCAAAGTTATAAATGGCACACTGGGATGAAAGCAGACAGGTTTTCCAGACAGTGGATTAAATTAATTCAGTTCCAGAGTTTGGTTCTGTACATTTCCAACTCTGCATACAGTCTGGGTCCAACAGTTCCTTTAAATCAGATTTATTTCCACAAATATAAAGCACAGTAAAAAAAAAACAATTAAAGCTAAAATACTGTTTCAAGTCTTTGTTGCTTGACCAAATATTAATGGTGGTGGTAAATGTAATGAAAGCCCCCAATCTTGTAACTACTTCCAGCTGTCTCTTTTTATTCAAAAGAACCAGCAAGATTCTTGTCAGTTTGGGAACCACAACTCATACTAAAAGACTTTCATAATTTCTTACCCAATCCTATTGGAATTCAGTTAACAAGTATCAGAGAACAAGACCTATCAAAAATGGAAACAAACAACACTCAGAAAATTAGTATTTCTGTAAAAATATTGCATTTTTTTTTGTATCAGAGAAGTTTATAAACAGTACAGTGCTAAGACTACTAAAAAAAAACCTGAGGTGATGTTAATCAGGTTCTGGAAAAATATCTCCAGGACAACTGAGTATTATTTTACTGCAGTTGTACTTGGGTGTGCAACAGGTGACTAATCCATTTATACTGGTTCACCGATTTCAGTACCACACACAACAGATTCCACTCAAGCCTATGAGCACTTCATAAATATAATGTTAGAAGCATTATGTTATAGAGGTGCAGTGAAGGTATGAAGCATTCCTGGCATGCTCCTCCACCTCCCTGCCATGGCAGAACCCTGCTGCAGTGATCTCTCATGCTCTGATTTATTTCCAAGAAGCATGACCCCTTTTTTGTACCAAAGAGCACAAAGATAAAGGCTCAGATTTAGAAAGACAGATGGGTTTCTATCCACAAGTATCAGATACTGACTGATCCCAGCAGAAGGTAAGTAACCCGATACTTCTGAAGAACGGGACCTAAATTTAAACAGGAAATTAGAGACATTCTCCCAAGTTAGGAGCTAATATTATAAACACTGGGACTCTCCTTAATTAAAAATAAAATTTAAAAAATAATATTAATTGGCCTGTAGCATCTCCAGCAAGGAAGAGCCCTTCAGATGTAACCGGACACTGAACAGAACCTATGCAATTTTCACATGTCCCAAAACATCCAAAGGTAAAAAACATACAAAGAATGTGATAAATTCTCTTATGGATGAGGGACTAATCAATGCAGTGCTGCTAAACCCCACAACCTCAGCACCATCAGCACCCTGCAACTATTCCAATGCTGACACCTCTTTCCCCTGAGCCCTTACAATTGCTGAAAATAAAGTTGATCCAGACAAGCACGAGGAGAAACAAATGCTGGACTGACAAACTCTCACTTGTAGATGATGGAAGGCAGGATTAACTCTTTTCTAACTGAACAAAAAACCTTCTCTAACTAACAAAGCCACTTTTTTTTTTTTGACTGTGTAACTGTTTACAAACCATGCCTAATCCAATATTAACACTCACTTCCACGGTCACAGAATTTGTTTTTTCAACATTTGGCAAGAATAAAAGTAAGTATTAAAGTATATGTGCAGCAGGACCACAGCACGTCTAACAGCCCCCACTGCCATAGCTCCTAACCACAGACTTCTAGTTCTCATGTGAAGTCACTGAGCTTTAAAAAAAAAAAACAAAACAAACAACCAAAAAAAATTCCCCAGCATTCTGAAGAAAAACACTTTTCTTTTGAAGTCACATGACAATTTTTTCTGCCACATTTCCTCAATATATGGTAGTAAAGAATGAAAGGTAAATAGAAATAAAAATGGAAATCACTGGAAATAATCTGTATTGATGATAACTTAGAACCAGATCTTTTAAATGATTTTGCAAATGAAGATGCTTGCTTTAATAGGTGGATATTCAAAGTGAACAGGACTAAAATTAAACACAGGTTTCCACAGTGACTTCACCACAGACAGGACCACACTGCAAAACATGAAACAATTTTTCCCCCTATTTCAATCCTGGCACAAAACCCAAAACAAACTGAACTTTCCCAAAACACGAACAGAGTTCTAAGAGGCAGTTCTAAGTGGTAACCAGCCATGATACATCTCAGTTCCCAAAAAACCTTCCAGTGTAGTGACATATTTCTAAAATGCATATTATTTGTATGCCAATGCTTTTCCAGCACCTCCAGTTCGAGGTAATTTTCACTCTTTTGTTTTAAAACTTACATCTCCAGTGTGTATTTTTTACACATGCACACCCAATGCTTCCTAAGTACAGTAATCATGGCAGGGGGTCAAGGATGCACGAAGTCACAGCCAAATTCAACACACAGTGCCTTAGGCATGGGAATGTTCCTTCTCAACAGTTTTCCATTTTATATATGTGCATCAGGTATCAATTTATACTCAGAATTAAAAAATTGACTGAAAAAAGCTTAACTTTAAGACTGTATTCTTCAAAATCACACTGTTCCAATGCTAAATTTGCCTTCCAGCTGTCAAACTTTTTTGTCCCATAGAAGCTCTGCATATCAAATGTGTGGCCACAGCTGAAAATCTACTCACTTTATGCAGTGCAAGAATAAAAAAAAAAGAAGACATAAAATAAAAACAGTATTCTTCAGTGAAATGCATCACTTAAAATGCTTATTAAAGTGTGCCAGAATCCACTCCGATTTTTTTTTCTCTAAAAGTTCCTTTCCACCAAGTTTTCCAATTTCAAGAGTGAATATTAGAAGTGATTACTTGGGAGTCCCAGTCGTACAGAAGTAGGTGACAAAGAAAATACTGGTTTCAACAGGCTGTGAATTCACACTTCAATGGGGCAAAGCGTTGCTCTTTCGACACAGATTAGTTACACAAGCTGAACACCAAGGGTAGAAACTTTTAAAACACTAAATATGAATAAAAGCTATAAACAGAGCAAGAGGATGCCCATCCCTGAGCAGTGTTCCTGAGGAACAGCTGCCAACACAAGCTGCTCACGCACTGATGAATTCATCCAGCCAACCATAAGCCCACAGCTTTTCATACCTATACAGAAAATAGATGTATTTCTCTACAGAGACTCAAAATATCAAAAAAAAGAAAAGTATGTAGAAATTTTTGCACTAGTAACACTTTTAGGATTATATCACCAGACACCTGACAAGTGTTACTCCCCAGCATGACAGTAGTGGGCAACATTCCAGTCAAAATTATGATTAACAGAGGGCCACTGTAAAGGACTTTTTCTGACAACCAGAGTTTTCAATAAACAGTTTAAAACCCCATGTAAAAACGTTTCTTCTGTTGACTATAGCAGAAAGCACTCTACACTCACAATTAAAGTATGAGCTTTACTGCTCAACTACTATCTACTCTAATTTGGAAGCATGGAAAATGAAGAGGAAGGAGTTTAAGGGCAGTCCTTTGACTCAGTGAACAACCCTGTGTGAGTTGCATGCCATCCTTAAGTTGCATGTCACGTGCACCAAGATATGGATTAGAACCTTATTAGCCAACCAAATTTATTCAAAATTTTCTTTATGAGCACTACTTACAGCAGGATGAACCTTTTCTATACCTCTCAGTGGAAATCTGGGAAACTATTTACAGTCATCCCATTTTCCAGTAAGTTCTACAATGATGATTCAGCCTGTATCACACTGTACATCCTGCAAATAAATTGCTCGGACATTCAGCTGTGCAGAGTCGTGATCCTCCACGATCCCAAGTCTCCTCTTAAACCACCACATGACCGTGTCACGCACAAATGAAAGTAATTTACCAAGGTCAATACGGGGAGAGGGGGGAGAAAGGATTTTTCATGAGGCAGCAAAAAAATACACGAGAAACGAACCAGCAAAAAATTACCCCAAGGCAGCTCTTGCCCACACTCACATTTGCAGCATGACTTCGTTCAGATACACTCCATCCACCAGCGCCACATATTCCTCCAGGTTGGTCCCATTTCCTCCAGCCAGAGGTCCGAATGTCTTCACCTGGAACAGAACCAGCAGCAGCACCGTGACACCAACTCCACCTCGCTCCCCTGCCGCAAGGCTCTTCTTAAACAATGAGCAAATAAAACCAGGAACGTGTGAGGGGAAAATGAACGCTTACCCAGGTGACAAGAGGGCTCGACATGAACTGCTCCAGAAGGGGTGTGAAGATCTCGTTCTCCATTTTACAAAAAAATGGTTAACATCAATGCAGCTCCTCTGATGCAAAAAATAAAGATAAGTCCTTCACTGCAGCAACTCTCTGGAATGCTCCAAGGATTCAGCTGGAGTGAGTGAACCCCATTTTTACCAAGGGATGCAACAGCAACAAAAGTCAGTGCACTGGCAAGCGGGATTTATCTTCCTCTTTCAAGAAAAAATGCATCCGAAAGTCCATCTACGCTTATTTCAGCCTTTCCATTGATGCCTCTCCCTTCCTACATAGCGAAGGGGTGGAAGGAAGGAAGGAAGGAAAGAAAAGAGGGAGGCTGCCTAGCTACTGGGATTCTGCATCAGACAAAAAAAAAAAAAAGAGAGGAAGGAAAAATCTGCTTCAGCAGCGGCAGCGCCTCAGAAAGGAAGGAGAAATTCCAGCGAAACTCCGCAAGCTCATCCTGCCCCTTCCCCACAAAAAAAGCCCCAAGCCCGGGCGAGGGGAGCAGCGAGGGCAGCGACCCCCGCCCCTCTCGCGGCCAAGCCCCCCGGGCTGCGGCTGCACCACAGCCCCGCTGCCCCCCCGCACTGGCACCGACAGGGAACCGGCCCCCGGAGGGATCGGGGGCTATTTTAAATCAGTTCCCTTTTCTATCCCTTCCCTTTTCCACTTAACTACGACGCCAGAGAGCGGCAGGACCGGCACACGCCGCCCGGCCCCGCAGCCTCGCCCTTCCCCCGCGCTGGCCGCTCCCCTCAGGCTCCGCTCTCCCCTCGCCGCTCCCGGAGCGCCCCCCGACCCCTCCCCAGCTGTTCTCCTGCCGCTCCGCCACCGGTGCCGCGGCACCAGCTCCGCTCCCCACCCCCGTCCTCCCCAACTGCGGGGCCACCTCGCCTAACCAGCGCGGTCGCGCCGCATCACTCGCCCCGTCCTCGTCCTCCTTCCCTCCCTGCCTGCCTCCCGCTCTCCCTTCCCGGCGGCCGGCCCCAGCGAGCGGATCCCTCCGCCCGGAGCCGGGTATCCCTCCGCCGCCGCTCGGGGATGGCGGCGCGATTGGAAAGGGGCGGGGCCGCGGCCAAACCGCTGCAGGACTCGCGCCCGGCGCGCGCGCGCGCGATGCGGGCTGCGGGCACCGCTCAGCCTTCGGTGTGAGGGGAGAGAGCCTCGTCCCTTCCCCGCGCCGGGAATAAAGGTGCCCCTGAGTGATGATAATGCTCTTCCAATCCCCCTTTTGGGGGAATAGAGGTCCTCGTGAGGGAGATGCTCTTCCGTTCCCCTCTTGTGGAATAAAGATGCCCGTGAGGGGAAAACTCAGCGCGGGAGGGATATTCTCCATTTCCCTTAAGAGAATAAAGATGCCCGTGAGGGGAAAAGTGTGGGAGGGAAAGGTGCTCTTTCACTCTCCTTTGAGGAACAAAGGTGCCCGCGAGGGGAAAACTCAGAAGAACCCAGAAGAATAAATGTGCCCATAAGGGGAAAAGCACGTGAGGGAGGGAGAGGCTCTTCCAATCACTTCTTGCTCAATGAAGGTGCCCGTGAGGGGGAAAGGGCGGGAACGAGATGCCCTTCCTTTCCCGTGAGGGGAAAAGCGTGTGAGGGAGGAGGATGCTCTTCCATTCCTCTCCTAGGGAGTAAAAGTGTAAAAGTGCCCGTGAGGGGAAAACTCATGGCAGGAGGATATTCTTCATTTCCCTTAGGAGAATAAATGTTCCCGTAAAGTGAAAAGCACGTGAGGGAGGAGAGAGAAACTCTCCCGCTCCCCTTTGCGGGTGCCGTGAGGGAAAGAAAAAGCGCGGGAGGGAGAGGCTCTTCCCATCACCTCTTGGGGAATTAAAGTGCCTATGCGGGGAGAAGGGCGGGAAGGAGATGCTCTTCCTTTCCCCTTTGAAGAATAAAGGTGCGTGTGAGGGAGGGAAATGCTCTTCTATTCCCACCTGAGGGAATAAAGATGGGGGTGAGGGAAAAACTCGGCACGGGAGGGATATTCTCCATTTCCTTTAGGAGAATAAAGGTGCCCGTGAGGAAAAAAGCACGGAAGGGAGAGAAAGGAGGAAGGGAGAAGCTCTTCCATTTCCCTTGGGCGAATAAAGGTGAAAACTTGGCGCGGGAGGGAGGGCGATGCTCTTCCATTCCCCTCATATGGAATAAAGACGCCCGTGAGGAGAGAAGGGTGGGAAGGAGACGCTCTTCCATTCCCCTCTTGGGGAATAAAGACACCCGTGAGGGAAAAGCTCGGTGTGGGAGATGACTTTCCATTCCCCTTTTAGGGAGTAAAGGTATCCGTGAGGGGAAGAGTGTGGTAGGAAAAGATGCTATTTCATTCTCCTTCGGGGAATAAAGGTGCCCATGAGGGAAAAACCTCAGTGCAGGACTGAGATGTTCTTCCGTTTTCCTTTTTTTGAGAATAAAGGTGCCTGTGATGGGGAAAACTCGTACCCTCAGGAAGTGAAATCCAGAAGCAGGGCAGGTTTTCCCCTCAGGAAGTGGAATCTAGAAGCAGGACGGCTTTTCTCCTCAGAAGCTGGGATCCAGACACACCCATGTTAAGGTAAAATCCAACTTTCTGGAAGGGTTTTGTGGGAAGTCAGAGGATGACAAGCAGTGTGCTGGCCTGATCCATTGTCCCTTCTCTGAGCCTTCTCCTGCTACTTGTGCTTCCAGTATTCAATCCTGCATTAATATGCATGGATATATCTGCTTAATACATTATGTGGTTCACTGACAAAGCATTTTACAAAATCTCTAACTAAATCCAGCTTCTCTTCTGTGTGTTATAAATTAAATTGTGCCAGCATTTTTTCAAATACCATTAGTTTTGCACACTCAATTAAAAAAAAAATCCCACAAAACATTGCAATAGAAGTGACTGAAATTAAGTGCTTTTGAAAAAAAAAAATCAAGTAATAGTAAAACAGATAAGGTTTCTCTTAACCCAAATACTGGATACACATTTTTCCTAATGTCCAAGATTGGGAAAAAACCCAACTCCAATTGTGACTTGTTTCCCATGAAGAATACCTAAGTAACAGATTAGAAAAATTAATTATGGACCTTGTAATATTAGTCTGTCTTTTGTATTCTAAGGATTTTTTTTTTTTAATTTAGACAATGTTGCATAGTTAAATGACTTTGTTTCCTACAGTTTTATTATTTCAGCAAAAATCATGTTTTTCCCTCCCAAACCAGATCTCTAGAGTGAACTCAGCCCTCCTGTGAAACAAAAGAAATAAGAAAGGGCAAAGGAAAACTCAGCAGCCTTGGTTCTGAGTAAGAACCTGGTGATCCATGGGTGAAACAACTGCCAATAAATTCCCAGCCCTTAAAGGCAGCCACAAAAGCATTTTTGTACAAGCCTGACCAACCAACCGCTCTGCTCCCTGCATCTGGCAGCAGTCTGTAAACATGCGATTGTGCCCACAGAGCCATGGAACTTCCCTGGCTCATCCCCTTGTTTCTTGCGGGCTCTAATTAGGCAGTAATGACTTTGGCATAAAGCAATTTCTAGGAATTAGAGCCCAGCCAGTAGAAGTTGATAGCCCATGTAGTAGTAACAGCAGCTGGCTCACAGAAACCATTTTATACTGAGATTCCCTAGCATTAAAAATTGAATTAAATGGTTTTAGATGTTTTTGCTTCCATCCACATCGTGCAGTTGGCCTGTGTGCTCAGCATGGCTGTTGATCACCATTCCTGCAGAAAGACTGCTATGTTTTAGACATGAAATGCACTGTCAGCTGTTTTATCTCAAGATGATTTACAGTTTCTTATTTCAGCTGGAGATTAGTACAAAATAAAATTTCAGAAAAGGTATCCAGATGCAGTCAGAGGAGTTTTGTTTTCAGTTTTGGTTTGGGTTGGGTTTTGTTTCTTTTTTTTTTTTCCCCAAAGACTAAGAGCCCTGAAAACCTATGAAGAAGTTTCTTCTAATTAGCTGCCACTTTGTCCCACCAAGTGTGAGAATTTCCCTCCTTTTCAGGTACACATAGACACGCACCAGGATGAACCGCTGCCAGGGCAGATGTTTGCAGTGGAGTCAGAGCCAGAAGAACCTGGACTGCAGCCACCTCAGCAAGGTGAGACAACTTGCCCTAGGACAGGAAGCTGTCAGCCTTTGATTGCTGAGCCCTTGTTTGACAGACAACCCTTAAAATGAATTAAAATGTTTGTCTTTCGAGTTACTTCTCTGATCCCGAACTGAATACGGAAGGGTTTCATTTTCAGCGTAGCTGTCGGGAGTCCCATGAGTATTGTTCTAGGAAATACTTAGAAGTCACAGCTCTACAGGGCTACATTACTGTAACCTGCAACTTGTGATATATTTGGCTGCATTGTTTTAGCACTTTTTACCTGGGAAAGCTCCAAAAAGAAAGTTTGATGACTGCACTTACAGTGGTAAATCCCAGAAGCTGAGGAAGTTGACAGCTGAAGTTAGCTGACCCAGAAACAGAGAAGAAACATTATTATAAAACTGAAGTTCTAGTAGTTTTAACTATTCTGAGACTGTACATTCAGGAATATTTTGGAACTAAAAAAAGTATCTTTTTTATAATTTGAAAAAATGCATAGAGAACAATCTTGTTCTTTCACATCTCATTTTCTGGAACAGAACTATCAGTATTTAATACAGAGTGTGGCCTACTGCTTCTGAAAAAACAGATTTAGAGATTACCTTGTTGTTTGAAGTGCAGTATTTGTTCTTGTACAGGTAAAGCTTCTTTCTTTTGCATCCCCCATGTACCACAAAGACTCTACACAGAAGACATGGAAATTACAAATGATCTATGCCTAGATCCCAGATCTACAAATTACAGAGTTACTTCATATCAGTGAACTTTTTTTTGCTCGTGGCATCACTTCCTGTACCTACTATTAGCAATTTTTGCAACTATTTAGCAAGTTTTGCTATTGCAAAAATAAAAATTGAAAAAGAATATCTAGAAAAACCCAGATGTCTTGAATCCACAGACAGCAGGAAAGCGTGACCATGTACAGCCCCACTTACCTTGTCAGGGTTTGTCCAAACCTTTCTGGTCAGCCCTGCCCGCAGTGAGCCAAGGGAGGGGACAGTTTGGGGAGTAGATGACAACCAGCCTGCCCTTTTTAGCTGATGCAAGGCGCGGTGGTTTTCTCTTCCTCTCACACAGCAGCAAAGGAAAGAGGTGACGCTGCTCTCACCGCCGGCTCTGCCTCCCAGTCAGCACTGCTGGGTTAACGCCCTTTGCCTGATGGGACTTGAGAACACGGGAAAAACAGGGACCAAGTGTGGATGCAGGGCTATGAAACCACAGCCAAAACTGGAATGTTCTGGATAAGTCAGTGTTTAGTGAGAACTGCAAGCCAATGACAAGGACAGCCACCTTCTTTGTCCTGTTTGCTCCTGGAGAATCCCATTTCCCTATCAAACCAAGACTATAGGAATAGATGGGGCAATAAAGAGTAAGGGCACTGAGGGGTTGTGCCTTCTTAAGTATGAATTCCTAAAGGTGCCACAAATACAGCAGAC